GGGTCGGGGGGTGGCAATCAGAGCTGCCCCAAATCTCAAAGTCCCTCTGATCCCCCTGCAGGAGGTGGGTCCACAGGATGATGGCTGCTCTGTCATCTACGACATGGCCTTGGTCTTTCAGCGGAGGCTTCAGGCAAAGTGGGGTTAAGTGTCTTGCCCAGGGACACAACGACAGCAGACATCAGTGGGAGCAGGTGACATGTGTCGTGGTGGACTCGAACCCACAACCATTAGGTTCAAAGACCAGTGCTCTACCAACTGAGCTACTGTCGCCCCCCCCAAAAAAAAAAACAGGATATACAAAAAATCAGCAGATACTGATATATTGATATTTATTTTAGGTTTTCATCATTTTTTTGAATTTAGGAAACGGTTTTACACTGGTCCAGACCAGAGCAGAGAGGATTCATGGTTTGAACCAAGTGGATCAGGCTAAAATCCACAGGAGCAATGCTAACTTTTAGAAAAATGCTAATGAAGCATTTAGCATTTTACTTTGGACCAGAGCCGAGAAAATGGTCCAAACCAAGCGGCTACTCCACCTTTTGACCCGTCCTGCTCCACCCAGAGGCTACTCCACCTCTGCTGCTGTGACCTGTCCTGCTCCACCCAGAGGCAACTCCATCTCTGCTGCTGTGACCTGTCCTGCTCCACCCAGAGGCTACTCCACCTCTGCTGCTGTGACCCATCCTGCTCCACCCAGAGGCTACTCCACCTCTGCTGCTGTGACCCGTCCTGCTCCACCCAGAGGCAACTCCATCTCTGCTGCTGTGACCCGTCCTGCTCCACCCAGAGGCTACTCCACCTCTGCTGCTGTGACCTGTCCTGCTCCACCCAGAGGCTACTCCACCTCTGCTGCTGTGACCCATCCTGCTCCACCCAGAGGCTACTCCACCTCTGCTGCTGTGACCTGTCCTGCTCCACCCAGAGGCTACTCCACCTCTGCTGCTGTGACCCGTCCTGCTCCACCCAGAGGCAACTCCATCTCTGCTGCTGTGACCCGTCCTGCTCCACCCAGAGGCTACTCCACCTCTGCTGCTGTGACCTGTCCTGCTCCACCCAGAGGCTACTCCACCTCTGCTGCTGTGACCCGTCCTGCTCCACCCAGAGGCTACTCCACCTCTGCTGCTGTGACCTGTCCTGCTCCACCCAGAGGCTGCTCCACCTCTGCTGCTGTGACCTGTCCTGCTCCACCCAGAGGCTACTCCACCTCTGCTGCTGTGACCCGTCCTGCTCCACCCAGAGGCTACTCCACCTCTGCTGCTGTGACCCGTCCTGCTCCACCCAGAGGCTACTCCACCTCTGCTGCTGTGACCTGTCCTGCTCCACCCAGAGGCTACTCCACCTCTGCTGCTGTGACCCGTCCTGCTCCACCCAGAGGCTACTCCACCTCTGCTGCCGTGACCTGTCCTGCTCCACCCAGAGGCTACTCCACCTCTGCTGCTGTGACCTGTCCTGCTCCACCCAGAGGCTACTCCACCTCTGCTGCTGTGACCCATCCTGCTCCACCCAGAGGCTACTCCACCTCTGCTGCTGTGACCCGTCCTGCTCCACCCAGAGGCAACTCCATCTCTGCTGCTGTGACCCGTCCTGCTCCACCCAGAGGCTACTCCACCTCTGCTGCTGTGACCTGTCCTGCTCCACCCAGAGGCTACTCCACCTCTGCTGCTGTGACCCGTCCTGCTCCACCCAGAGGCTACTCCACCTCTGCTGCTGTGACCTGTCCTGCTCCACCCAGAGGCTGCTCCACCTCTGCTGCTGTGACCTGTCCTGCTCCACCTCTGCTGCTGTGACCTGTCCTGCTCCACCCAGAGGCTACTCCACCTCTGCTGCTGTGACCCGTCCTGCTCCACCCAGAGGCTACTCCACCTCTGCTGCTGTGACCTGTCCTGCTCCACCCAGAGGCTACTCCACCTCTGCTGCTGTGACCTGTCCTGCTCCACCCAGAGGCTACTCCACCTCTGCTGCTGTGACCCGTCCTGCTCCACCCAGAGGCTACTCCACCTCTGCTGCCGTGACCTGTCCTGCTCCACCCAGAGGCTACTCCACCTCTGCTGCTGTGACCTGTCCTGCTCCACCCAGAGGCTACTCCACCTCTGCTGCTGTGACCCATCCTGCTCCACCCAGAGGCTACTCCACCTCTGCTGCTGTGACCCGTCCTGCTCCACCCAGAGGCAACTCCATCTCTGCTGCTGTGACCCGTCCTGCTCCACCCAGAGGCTACTCCACCTCTGCTGCTGTGACCTGTCCTGCTCCACCCAGAGGCTACTCCACCTCTGCTGCTGTGACCTGTCCTGCTCCACCCAGAGGCTACTCCACCTCTGCTGCTGTGACCTGTCCTGCTCCACCCAGAGGCTACTCCACCTCTGCTGCTGTGACCCGTCCTGCTCCACCCAGAGGCTACTCCACCTCTGCTGCCGTGACCTGTCCTGCTCCACCCAGAGGCTACTCCACCTCTGCTGCTGTGACCTGTCCTGCTCCACCCAGAGGCTACTCCACCTCTGCTGCTGTGACCCATCCTGCTCCACCCAGAGGCTACTCCACCTCTGCTGCTGTGACCCGTCCTGCTCCACCCAGAGGCAACTCCATCTCTGCTGCTGTGACCCGTCCTGCTCCACCCAGAGGCTACTCCACCTCTGCTGCTGTGACCTGTCCTGCTCCACCCAGAGGCTACTCCACCTCTGCTGCTGTGACCCGTCCTGCTCCACCCAGAGGCTGCTCCACCTCTGCTGCTGTGACCTGTCCTGCTCCACCCAGAGGCTGCTCCACCTCTGCTGCTGTGACCTGTCCTGCTCCACCCAGAGGCTACTCCACCTCTGCTGCTGTGACCCGTCCTGCTCCACCCAGAGGCTACTCCACCTCTGCTGCTGTGACCTGTCCTGCTCCACCCAGAGGCTACTCCACCTCTGCTGCTGTGACCTGTCCTGCTCCACCCAGAGGCTACTCCACCTCTGCTGCTGTGACCCGTCCTGCTCCACCCAGAGGCTACTCCACCTCTGCTGCCGTGACCTGTCCTGCTCCACCCAGAGGCTACTCCACCTCTGCTGCTGTGACCTGTCCTGCTCCACCCAGAGGCTACTCCACCTCTGCTGCTGTGACCCATCCTGCTCCACCCAGAGGCTACTCCACCTCTGCTGCTGTGACCCGTCCTGCTCCACCCAGAGGCAACTCCATCTCTGCTGCTGTGACCCGTCCTGCTCCACCCAGAGGCTACTCCACCTCTGCTGCTGTGACCTGTCCTGCTCCACCCAGAGGCTACTCCACCTCTGCTGCTGTGACCCGTCCTGCTCCACCCAGAGGCTACTCCACCTCTGCTGCTGTGACCTGTCCTGCTCCACCCAGAGGCTGCTCCACCTCTGCTGCTGTGACCTGTCCTGCTCCACCCAGAGGCTACTCCACCTCTGCTGCTGTGACCCGTCCTGCTCCACCCAGAGGCTACTCCACCTCTGCTGCCGTGACCCGTCCTGCTCCACCCAGAGGCTACTCCACCTCTGCTGCTGTGACCTGTCCTGCTCCACCCAGAGGCTACTCCACCTCTGCTGCTGTGACCTGTCCTGCTCCACCCAGAGGCTACTCTACCTCTGCTGCTGTGACCCGTCCTGCTCCACCCAGAGGCTACTCCAC